AGCCATCGGGGCTACCACATGTCTGGGACCAGAGCTCTGAAGGCTGACTGGCTCAAAAGGCCAAGTGGTGGATGAAAATTCCTGCCAGGGAGCACAGTTGAGCCAGATGACGAGCTCTTTCACTTGGGACTGGCCAGACTTGCCAAAGGGCAGAGTCGATTCTGAAATCCCTCAGCAGGAAGCAAAACTTATCTTCCTGCTGTCTCCACTCCAGAACATTCAGATCTATTTCCTTCCTGGTAATAATGGTAAGAATCTAGTTATTATAGCCTTTGAAGGATGGTGTTTGTTGCTTCTCTGTCCAAACCAACAGCTCTAAACACAGGCCTATGTGCCCTGCATTGTGTGAAGACCATGGGAGGCATTATGCTCTCCCAGAAGTCAGAACATGTTGGTCCATTGATTTTGTTCTGAACGTTTTCATGTTGGCTCTTTTTTAATGAATTGCTACAGTCAGGGCATTGAGAGATGTGAGCACTGGGCTCACTTTGGCTACCACCTAGCTGTTGATATGACCCTCTATGCCTCAGCGTAGCTCTAAGGTCCTCTGTTTTTGGCATCTACGTGCAGATTGAGCAGGCTGAACATACCTGAGTTTGGAGTTGGAGTGTTTCACTTTCACCATGAGGGGAGGGATAATGAGAATAAATAGAACAATAACATTTTTGAAAATATTTTTTATTGATTTTTGGAGAGAGAGAAACATTGATGAGAGAGAACATCGATTAGCCACCTCTTGCATGCCCCCCACTGGGGATCAGGCCCACAACCTGGGCATGTGCCCTGACCAGGAATTGAACTGGTGATCTCTTGGTGCATGGGTCGACACTCAACCACTGAGCCATACCAGCTGGGCAGAACAATAACATTTTATGACATAAAATACTTGCCAGAGTCGAAGACAGTTGTGTCTGCGCACCTATAGGAGCTAGTTTATACTGGTAAACACCTCAGAGAAAACCGATGACCTACTGCTTCACCTGGAGGTCTTTGTGGTCCCATCTCCTTTATCCAGTCACAATTGGACATTTTTGGGGAAATCAACTAAGTGATGTGCTTACGTCTTTTTGAGAGTTGTAAACTCCCGTGATGAATTTTTGACTGCCACGTTTTGCTACAGATTTACCCAGTCTGCCTTTCAGTTCTTACTGCCCTGTCTTCCCATTACATTAAAAGAAGAAAAAAATAAATGTAGCCTCATGTACGATTCTTTTGTTGTTGTTATTAATCCTCACCTGAGGATATTTTTCCTTTTCCATTGATTTTTAGGTAGAATGGAAAGGAGAGAGAGAGAGAGAGAGAGAGAGAGAAACCTCAATGTGAGAGAGACACATCAATTGGGTACCTCCTGCATGACCCCAACCGGGGCTGGGGATCGAACCTGCAACCCAAGTACATGCCCTTGATTGGAAATGAAACTTGAGACCCTTCAGTTGGCAGGCCAATGCTCTACCACTGAGCAATGGCAGGGATCATATACAATTCTTTATTAATTATTTGGGGATTGGTCTAGAGGTACATGGAACCCTGGCCCTGATTTTTGTTTAGAATGACCTTGACAGACATCTTATTTGAAAATGTAGCATCATTTCTCATCGAAGGAGGCAGGAAGGCTAAATTTGATTGAGTCAGAATGAAGTCAGTCAAGACAAAAAAAAAAAGGACAACCTGTAAACCTACTCTACTAATAAGCAAATCAGGCATCTGGCCAGTGATCAAGCGTGGTGGGTGCAAGACAGACAGCTCACAAACTGTTCCTGCCTTTCAAAACGGCCCCACCTGCCTCTGCAGCTGCCAGGGCTCCGAACAGAACTTCACACCTCTGCCTCCTTCCTCTGTCACATTCAAGCACGCACTTGCCACGAGCACACTTTTCACACGCTGTCTGTTCACCCGACACTTCCCGTCATGTCTCTCTTGCTGCCCCTCTGCTCTGCCCTGTCACATTTGATGTCTGCTACGTACCAAACCTGACATAACACTTGAGGTTTTTGTTCTTTGCACAGTAATCTTGGAAAATATGATGACATGTAATTGTCTTTTTTAATTTGGGGCCCTGTGGTTTGAGGCAGGGTCGCTGGGGGAACGGCCTTGGCAAGAGGAGGCTCCTGTGAAATCGGTTATAAAAATGTTCAAACCAGCAGAAGGTGAGGAAGACTTCTGCAGGGTAGGCTTTGTTGGGGCTTGGCTGGGAAGAATTAGGCCACAGGGTGTTGGCAGTTTCGTGAATAAGAAATTACTCATATCTTGAGGTAAAGGAAGGTTAATTGGCAGAGTTTCAATGATAACTTTATTAGGTAAACACACATCTGTCCCCAATCTAATTTATACAAACACAGAAAAGGGAGGGAGAGAAAGGAAGGAGTTGGGGTAGAGATCTAGAAGGAGCTGGCAAAAGGGGAAAGAGTAGTTAGTGTGAGATGTTTGAGCTGGAACATCCATTGGGGGAGGGCCTATGTGTAAGGAGAGGTGGCCTTTGAGCATCTTTCTTTTCTTTTCTTTTCTTTTTTTAATAATAAAATCTGTATGCATGTAGATGAGACAGAAACATGTTAAGGAAACACACACACACGTACACACTCATCATTCTAGAGATCACCACTATAAGTTTCTTGTTTTCCAGTCTTTTTCTCTTTCTGTATATATTGTAACCTAGTTATGCTCATAATGTAGCTGCAATTTGGTACCCATTTTGTGTTTTGGGGTGGGTGTGTGTGTGTATTTAACATACTACAGCTCCTTATGCTTTCCTAGACTCTGTGTGTGGTGTATGGCCATATGATGGTTTGTCTTGTTGATGCTCTTTGGCAGGATGGACGCTTCACAGTGCTTAAGATCACTCTTTGGATCAGACAGCTCTGGTCCCCTGCCCCATTTAATAGCCTGGTGACTTGAGGAAATGCCTTCATCTCTCTAGGCCTCAATTATTATTTTTATTATTATTATTATTTATGTTTTTATTTATTTAAGTTATTTTTGTTACAAATGTTTCTCCTTTTTCCCCCATTGACACCCTCCTCCCATTCCCACCCCACCCCCTCACAGCGTTGTTGTCTATGTCCATTGGCTATGCGTACATGCATAAGTTCTTTGGTTTATCTCTTCCCTCCTCCCTGCCCCCTCCTCTGAGGTTTGTCAGTCTGAACCCTACTTCTCTGTCTCTGGGTCTGTACTGTTCATCACCTTATTTTGTTCATTATATTCCACAAATAAGTGAGATCATATGGTACTTGTCTTTCTCTGACTGTAAGCTTCAGTTATTTCATCTGCAAAATGGACATAATAATATCACTACTTATAGAGTTGTCATGAGGATGAAACAAGGCAGTGCTTACTTACTCCCTCTACTTTGAAACTGCCTCCTCTTTAAGAGGGAGGTGATATTGTTGCCATTTTCCAGATGAGATAGTTCACGTAGGTGAGGTCACTTGCCCAGCGTCCATGCGAATAATGAGAGCCAGGATTTTTACTGACAGATTCTGAAGCCCCACCTCTTGCCTGGCACCCAAACTGCTTACTCAGGGGTAACTTAGCTAAATCACCCAGTTAGTAAAGAGCAGAGCTGAAATGTCGTAGAATCTGGAGTCTGTGATGGCCCACCCCCCTGAGAAAGTGACTTGTGGATCTTGTATTCTCTAGGTTTTACTTAAAACCATTTTTTCATGTGCCCTTTTATTGCATCAGGCTCTCGTAGGCACTGGTGGGGCGGGGCGAGGATAGGCTGGTACATTTACAGGTCCCTGCAGTAATGTCACAGGAGTGAATTTTCAGAGTGCAGAAGAGAGTCGGTGAGGTTTTTTTGCTGTTTTATAATAATTATTTTTTATCCTCACCTGAGGACGTTTTTGCATCTATCTTCAGATAGAGTGGAAGGGAGAGAGGGAGGAAGACACAGAGAGAGGAACATCGACATGAGAGAGACACATCGAATTGTTGCCACCCACACTACCCCAACCGGGGCCGGGAACAAACTGCAACCGAGGTACGTGCCCTTAGCAGGAACCGAACCTGGGTCTCTCTGGTCCGCAGGCCGACACTCTAACCGCTGAGCCAAACCAGCCAGGGCATTTTGTTGTTTTTTTAATCACCAGTATATGAAACCCAGAGAGGGTCAGGAGAAATGTCAGCAGCAACATGGATCCCATGTTCCATCCCTCCCCATTTCCATCTTTCCTTAATGATTTGATACTGAGATGGTTCTTTCCTTGCCTTTGGCCTCCTTCTCCCCTGTCTAAGAATAGTGTCCAAGAATTGTGCCCTGGCTGGATTCTCAGCCCCTGAATCACTTGCCAAGTCCAGCCTGCTGATCTCTCTCCTACAGTCAGTCCGGGTGAGCAAGGAGATACTCTAGAACTGATTCAGGAACGAATGCCATTGATTGCATTGCTGCCTCCGTCACCTGTAGAGTGACATGATGTGAGAGTAAAACAAGTAGTGGCTGATAGGCACAGAAAGTCCCGTTTCTGTTTCCAGCCTACAGCTGCTCTGTGGGGGGCCTTGCTGGCAGCCTCGGGAGGGAAAGGGCAGCAGGTTTAGAACCCCGCCCAGTCGTGCCAACCCCTAAGCCTGCATTTTGTTGAAGGTCCTACATGCAGAGAAGATCTGATTTAAAGCCACCCCAGTGACTCTTTCTGAATCGCTTGGTTATTCAGCAGATTAAATCTTAATTGCAAATGCGGTTTCAGCGTAGGAGTATCATTGTGCTTGCTGGTTTCAGGCCATTTTTTGCTGAGCCGAGCTTTTCCAGGAGGCTGTTACAAATTTAGAAAGAGGGAAATGGTATTTCATTTGTCCATCAGTTTTGTTTTGCAGACTGAATGTATTTAGTGTTTGTTTAAAGGTTCCAAAATCTAGCATCCCTAGAGGGAGAATTGCTCTTTTTTTTGGAGAGCTTCTCTGGACTGTCCAAACTACATCTAGAAAACACTGTCTATGGTCCTTATGTGAGAGGCCAGGCTTGCCAACAGTCTCATGTGATATAATTTTGATTAATTTTTCAGAGACCCAAGAAGCCACCTCCTCCATCCGCTCCTATCATCAAACAAGGGGCAGGTAAGGTACCTTTCAGTTTCATCAACACTATGTGTGTCGTTCTCTGCATGTGTTTACAGCATCCTTGGTAGAGCTCAAGATTCTTAGATTTAGTGCCACAGATTGCCAAATTGGGAAGTAATGATTTGGTCTCAACAGGCAGGTTTTAAATAACTGCTGTTTTTCCTAAAATATAAACATATCATTCAAATGTATCCCTGATACAGCAAAAATAATAATAATAATAATAATAATAATAATAATAATAATAAATCTAACCTCCCAAAGAGAATGACCAGAAAGACTTGGCTTTGGAATAAACCAGTTTTGTCTGCTTTGTGTTTATTGTTTTAATAAACTGCTTTTGAGGACAGAAGAACCTCCTTCACCTTTGCCTGCCAGACTGAGGATCAGCTTGGAGGGGATCACTTCCCACAGGTCATAGCGTCACCATACATGTATGGTGGCACTGACTTTTCAATGTCTGCCCCGTGTGGTTAACCAAAATTTTTACTTACTTCACTTACCACCCACCCCAACAAAAGATATTTTTCTAGCAATAAATACTTTTCCTCATGATTTTTTTTTTTAATCTTGAAAAGAATCTAATTCACTTTTTGTGTGTAGTTCAGATATTAAGGTTGAATAATATGGGAAGACTTGATGTCAGACATTGGGTAACTCATTGCGCAATGGAATCTCATACATAAAGATGATAATTCATATTTCCCAATAGAATTCCTCTTTATAATTGTTAAAAACTAATTATGGAGAGAAATTCCTCCATGAATAACTAGGTAAGTGGCATTTTAAAAATTAGCAACTAAAACAGAAGAAGAGTAAGGGTATTTTTAGTTCTGTAACTCAATAATTATGATATTGCTGTAGCAGTTAAAGTATGAATAAATTTCCAGATTGATTTATTTACAGATTTATTAGGAGCAATTTTTTTTTAAGTTCTTTTGGCTCACCAGGTTTGGTGGAAAAATTAGCTCGACCCCAAATTCCATTTTCATTCCCTTCAGCATAGTTGAGAATTACAGAGATCAAGCCCTGAAATGGGACGTTAATTACAGCTCTGTACCACCCTCCATTCTCCGCATCGAGCAGTTTAATTTTGCCACCTAGTGGTTCTGGCTGGATAAATATTTTATTGTGCTGAAATTAAAGCAGGCTATTGATTTTCTTGTCTCTGAAGACCCTTTTCCATAGAGGCCTCGGTGACAGACGAGAGGCCAAATTGATGAGTTGAGTGGCCCAAGGCCCAGGTAGCCTAGAATATAACTAGATTGGATTATTCATGGTAGTAGGATTGTCAATTCCTCCTGTGTCTCCAGGAATGATACTGGACTTCTTCATTATCATTAAGAGACTAGATTATAGCATGGTAGGCAGATTCTTATCCTTTCAAAACAGTTTTACCAAAGGTTATGCTGGATCTCTGAGGGCAAAGCAAGATGACATTTAATCTTCCTAGATTATTATTGTTCATTTATCCTGCTGAATGATCTTGGGAACTGCTTTGTGGTGGGGAGGTAGGTATTCACATTTTCCCCATCATCAACTTTCCTTATGTTTGATTATTTGACCAAAACTAAAAAATCAGATATGGAATTGACAGAAATCACATACAGTGTTTAAATTGTAGTGAATCATTAAGGGGATTTAGGTAAAGTATATGTTCAGTGCATTTTTTTAAGTTCTTTTGGCTTCTTATGCTACATATAATGGAGAATTTAGTACCAAGCACCCATTCGTAGGGCTGGTCATCTAAGGAGCTTGTCAAGCACTCAACCAAGTCCGTAAATCAGAGGAGCACTTGTGGTTGGTTTCATGCATTAGCTATTTTTCAAGTGTTCTTACATGCCTGAAGTCACTGACACTGGTGAAAATGCGAGGGAGGGAGCTGCTGCAGTCCACGCGGGTAAAGAGGAAATGCTAATTGGTGCACTTGGGGAAAAGTAATACTTGAGGGATTCAGACACACACTGAAAGGACTTAGGGAGAACTACCATATCTTCTCTGCACATCTCTCCGCTTAAAAATAAAAATTACTACTGCTGCATAATAAACCACCCCAAATTTGGCAGCATAAAACAACAATCTTCTTATGCCCACAAATTCTAGGATCAGGAATTGGGACAGGGCATGGCCAGGGCGTCTTGTCTCTCTTCTCCATGATGTCTGGGACCTCAGCTGGAAATTCTAGGCCAGCTGAGGCTGGCAGGTCCACTTTGAAGATGACCGCTTCGCTCTCATATCTGGCTCCCCTTGGCAATGGTTGCTGGAAGGCTGGGCTCAGCTGGGACTGTAGGCCAGAGGGACTACACATGGCCTGCACATGGCCTCTGCAGCATGGTGGCCTCACGGGAATTCACTTCTCACAGGGAGGTTCGGTATTCTAGGAAATAAAGCATAAGCTACATGGCCTTTTAGGACATAACCGTGGAAATTATATTGTATCGTATCAGCCACTGGTTAAAGCAATCACAAGCCCACCTATATTCCAGCCAGGGGTCATAGACCTCACCCTTTAATGGGACCGGTAGCAAACCATTTGAGGCCGTATTTTAAAACTGCTACAGAATGGAACCCAGGTCCCTGTGAAATTCTTTTTTAGTTACAGAGCACAGTACCCAGTGACCCCTTATTTGCATATTTTAAAGTTGACTTCTTTCTTTCTTTATACACATTCCCCACAAACACCCAAGAATTTTCTGTGACTATTTTGATGCCTAAGGAAGTCAGATTTAAATATCAGAAAATATTAGTGGTGTTCTTGAAAGTTAAGGATATATAGGCAGGCAAACTTAATGACATAGGACGGAAATGACTTGTGCTGTATTTCTTAGCAACTTGTGTTTGCCAAGTAACACTAGCACCCAGCTTAGGGGGAAAAATGTATTAACTTTGCTATTCCTGATAAATATTTTAAATGCCGATGTGTTTAATAAATGAGTACACAAAATGTTTTCTGATCACTGTTACCCTTTCCCGCCCAGGTACCACTGAGAGAAAACATGAAATTAAAAAGATACCTCCTGAAAGACCAGAAACGCTTCCAAACAGAACAGAAGAAAAAGGTATGAAATCAAGTCTTCATTGGCACTTCTAGAACAGCAGGAGACGAAGCTGTCTGTCACAGGGCTGGTCTGGATTATCCACAGAATTTGCTTTCTTTGGAAGATGGTTTTGATTGCTTTTAAACATCCCATATCTAAGGAACTAGAAGAAAGGGTCATGTGCTGTCTCTTTGGGCCAGTTCTCAGCAAATGAGAAACAACAGGCCCCGTCACTTCACACATTGGGACTCTTCCACCCCGATTTTCCTGCCATCACTGCCCTGCCCAAACCAGCAGCATCCTCATCCTCAGTCACTGCCGGTCCTTTGACCCTGGCTACAGACACATGTTCTTGTTGAAGAATGCTGGGAGAGGGGAAACATGGCAGAACTGGAAGGATGGCAATGTCTACAGTCCCCTGAAGGTGGTCAGAAATATCATTCGCAAGGAAGTAGCTTAACCCATCTCACACAGTCAGTTTTACAAATAAGTTTGACGTCTCCCATTCTGAATGTCTCTCCCAAAGAGATCTGCATGCTGTGGAAGGACCCATTTTATTAGGTGGCTAAGATTTGATTGATCATACATTTTATGGGGGAAAGTGCTATGTTATTATTACGAACAGGAAGCAGAGTACATTCCATTTTGAAAAGCCGTTATTCGTAAGCCACAAGAGAAATGCTGAATTAATGAATGTAATTATTTGGAGGTGCTCCTGGGTGGCCTCATGAAATTTCATTGTGAAATTTAATATTTTATATCAGCCTGCCAAAAGTTTTACTGACATTGTGAGCTCTTAAGAAGTTAACACCTCTTTCTTTCATAGTGAACAGTTAAAACTTGAGTTGTGGAACCTCATTGTAAGGGCCAGGTATGTGTCACAGATCAGTGAAAAAATAGCCATTGACTGTGTGCCATACGAATAGCTCTTTGATAAAAGGGTGTGTTGTGCCAACCAAACACTGCCCCTGTCCTCGTGGAGGACACATAGCTACTTTGTGGCTAATAGCCAGGCTCCTTAAAGAGGACACTTCCTGCTGTGTTCCACGCTAACATGTGGACTCAGCTTACATGTGAACAACATTACTTGGCTGGCCAAGTAGCCGCACACTTCTGGTTCCTTTCCCTCCCAGGATTCCTTGTTCTGTGCCACAGTCGGTCAGGAAAGCAGAAGCCTTGATCAAAAGTAACAGGGGCCCTGCTGGATGGCTTGTTTGTTGAAGCATTGTCCCATGCACCAAAATAGTTGTGGGTTCAATTCCTGGTCAGGGCACCTACCTAGGTTGCAGTTTCGATTCCCTGCAACATCACATCCATGTTTCTCTTTCTCTCTCTCTCTCACCTCACCCATCCCCTCTCTCTAAAATTAATAAACATATCCTTGGGTAAGGAATATGAAAATATATATATATATATATATATATATATTTCCTCTTTCAATCCCTTTTTCTCCCCCCTTCTTTAAAAAACAACAACAGAGAAGCCAGGGAGCGAGCCCCACCCAAAGACTTGGCCTCCCATCCCTTCCAACAGGAGGAATCTCCCCTCCTTTGTGTTTCAGCTGAGCTCTTCCTCCCCTGGTCTCATGGACCAGCTAATGAGTTCCTAGCATTCCTGGATGGAGCATATTCCCCCACTGAAATATTGTGGGAATGAGCACCATGATCGCTACACAATAACTGATGGGCTTTTCAAAGGTTGGCCAATTGGCCTGGGCACCCAAACAATATGAGTTTGTTTGCAAGTAAAACATGTTCAGAGTTCCAGCTACAAGTGAACATAGGGAACCTGCCTGTCCTCCAGTGAGCAACTCTCTGAAGTTCTGTCTTTATAAAGAAGAATGTGGATACCTGCTTTTTATACCATGGACAGGGCAAGGCTAATTGGGGACAGAAAAAAAACAAAGCTGTCATTGAGCGCTGCCCAGTTAGGCCACCAGATCTAGCTTTAACTTCATTTTAATAGCTCTGACTCCAAAAACCCTTGGAATCCAAATACCTGTGAAGCCCCAGTTTACCTTCCAAGTTCAAACTGCACAAAAAGAGTCCAGAACTAGTCCTTGTTCCCTGAAACACTCTCCCCATTATGGGCTTATGGCCCTTTAAACAGGCTGACCTGAGAGGTGTCAGGCCTCTTTCCACAGCAGGTTCTGTGGGTCGTTTAGCAAACCTGTCAACCATTTATTGAGCGCCTGCTCTGTGCTCGGTGCCATGCATGGTTCTAGAGAGATGACCAGACATGGGCCCTGCCCTTGGGGCTGACAGCCTCCAGGCTGTGCCAAGCATCCAGACACCCAGCAAGTATCCAAGAGGAGGCTGTTTATACAGGGCTACCCTTCGTGGCTCGGGTGAGGAGGTTAAGTCTGCCTTTGAGGATGGGTCTGGATGTTGAGAAGGGAACTCGATGGTGTCACGTTTTAGCCAGGCCTGATAAGTAGGCTTAATGAAGGATAAGTAGGAGTTCACCAAGGGTAGTCTGTGGCAAACAGTAAGCTGTGGTTCTATAGGGCTTCTTCTAACTTGGCAAAGAATAAAAGATGCTCTTTTGTTGTTGTTGTTAATCCTCACCCAAGGATATACTTTTCCATTGATTTTCAGGTAGACTGGAAGGGAGGGAGGGAGAGCGAGAAATATCGATGTGAGAGAGACATCAATTGGTTGCCTCCCACATGACCCTGACCGGGGCCTGGGATCGAATCTGCAACCCAGGTACATGCTCTTGACCAGGAATCAAACCTGAGACCCTTCGGTCCGAGGGCTTGGACCAATACTCTAACAGCTGAGCCAAACCAACCAGGGCAAAAGATGCTCTTCAATGTCCAACTTCACCTTCCCAAATGGCATCAGTGATTTTTTTTTTTTTTAGGCATGAAATAAGTAATCTGCACATGAGTACTGGCACTTACACTAGATCTGTCTGTCTTCTTTATGCTTTTTTAAACAATGACTTAAAGAAAGACCAGAGAGAGAGCCAAAACTGGACTTACAGAAGCCTTCCGTTCCTGCCATACCACCAAAAAAGCCACGGCCACCCAAGACCAATTCTCTCAGCAGACCAGGCGCGCTGCCCCCAAGGAGACCCGAACGACCAGTGGGTCCCCTGACTCACACCAGGTACTGCTCTGCTCTCACCCTGGGTTGGGCACAAGAATGGGTGAAGGGTGGCCTAGGGACATAGGAGAAGGGTCTTGAGTGTGTCTGGCTGAGGGATGGGGGCAGATAAAGCTGCCCTTCCACCCTCTTAGCAAAGCTGATGAGGACTCTGCCACTTCTGTCCTTGCTCCAGTGTTCCCGCAGAAGTGGGTGAGGGGCTGGGGGTAGCAGGCAGGAATTTTCCATGGGCTTTGTTAGAGCAGGGGCAGTGGCCCTTCAGACTGGAAATGCAGGTGCCACACCCACCTTCACCCCCTGGATGTCCTGCTGGCCTCGGGTGCACACGTCTCGCTGGCAGCCCTGTCCCCTAACCCTCTCCCTGCTCTGCGGTGCCTCCTTCCACATCCCCAGGCTCCCTCTGCCTTGACTGCACAGCCCTATTGTGGAACCCAGGCCTCGGCATGGCAAATACTGTCTTAGTGCACATGTCTCTGAACTATGAGACCCTTGAAGGCAAGGGACATACTTGGTTCAGGCACGCCTTCTGAGATGTGCCTGGCAAAACTGAAATGTGTTCACTGGCTGGCTGCTGTGTTAGTGATGTGGAGTCAGAGTTGGATACTGTGCCTTCCAGACCTGAGATACCCATCATTCCACTAGGAAGTATTGTGTTCTCAGATCCATTGCCAGAACTTTCTACCGTTACATGTATAATATACGTGTCGTATAATACACCAGAGCAAATTGGTGGCATGGAGGTGTTTGCATGTACCTGCCAATGCACAGTCACTCACCAGAGTTTTGTTATTTTGAGCTAAGTTTCCACGGTGAGAGTCTCATGGGGCTTCAGTGCCCTGGTGTCCGAGTCAGGCAGGCTTGTGGGCTCGCGTCTCACCCTGCCTTGTAGGAGTGCGAGACTCAGCAGGTCGCTGCCCCTCTCATCTCACTTTCTCTGTCTGTAAATTGAGGAGGATAATGGAATGCACCTAAAATGATCGAACCAGGTAATTCCCAAGTATGTAGCCCCATGCTTGTAAATCGTTACTTTCATTGTCATTTTTATTATTGCATATCAAACTGGGTGTATTGCAGTAAAACAAAATAGCTTCTTTAGTTTCTAGAAAAGATTTTTAAATTGTGGTAAAATACACGCACAAAAATTTACCATTGTAAGCATCTTTAAGTGTACGGGTCAGTGACATTAAGTACATTCAGATTGTGTAACCATCACTGCCATCCATCCATAGAACTCTTTTCATCTTGCAAAACTCTGTATCCCTTAAACAGTAAGTCCCCATCCCCCCTCCTCCCAGCCACTGGCAATGACCATTCTTTTTTAAATTTTTTATTCCTTTATTGACTTTAGAGAGAGAGAGGAAGGGAGAGGGAGAGAGAGATAGAAACATCGATGAGAGAGAACATCAATTGGCCGCCTCCTGCATGCCCCCCATTGGGGATCGGGCCCACAACCTGGGCATGTGTCCTGACTGGGAATTGAACTGGCGACCTCTTCGTGCATGGGTTGACGCTCAACCACTGTGCCACACTGGCTGGACACAATGACCATTCTTTCATGTCTCTATGATTATGACAACTCTAGATGCCTCATATAAGTGGAATCATACAGCATTTGTGATGACCCCTGGGGAAACTAATGGTGCCAGGACCACTGTTGAGTTGGTCAGGCCCTTACGTGTTGCGCCCTCTTTTGCTGGCTGACAGCAGAAGGCCGTTTGCACATGCGCACAACAGGACCACTTGAGAGCCCCGATGACCTTAGCACGGTTGGCCCAGAGGCTATCACTTCAGATGAAAAAGGTCATGTAAACCTATGTGCTTCTGAAGAGTTACGCAAACAGGGAGCATGGAGCAGCAAAGAGGCACATCGCTTTGTGGTGGGTGAAAGGAGAACAGAAGCCACACTCTGCTTTTGTTGTGTTAGTCTTCCAGGGACTAGAGACATTTTGATTAAGTAGTCAACAATTCCCAGAATATCCCTGCTGTGATCTCTACGGATCTGATCTGAAAAGAAGTACAGTTCTCATGTACAGTTCTCATAGCTTCGTTGCCTTCGAAGGTTGCTCTCAGCCGTCTCATTAAGGGGTAGGTGCAGGCTTTGTGAGCCAACAATTAGACGTGCATGCAAGGGGGAAGGAAGTGAATAATAATTGCCAACTCTGATGGCTCACAGAGGCCTTCATTTCCCATTTCCCACCCTCACCCCCCGCTTCTGCTTAGCTCTTCTCTGCCTCCAGCCCTCCCAATATCTAGTTGTCAATTAGAAGTACAGGTCATCAAGGAGGATCCATTAGAAGGGTTTGTCCAGAAGCCAGTGGGAAATGTAACTGTTCTTCACATTGTGTGTGGCATCTGAGCAGCCCCTGGCCTCCCACCCCTCCCACCCCTGTGGCTGTCCAGTCCCCAGGGCACTGGTTTGCAGAAAGGGGAGAAGGGGAGGAAAGCCCCAGGTTTCCTCCCTGACAGTCCTAGGAAGTGACAGGCCCAGGCAAGGCTGAGAGCGCTCGGGGAGCCAGTACCTGCTTGAGCCACTTGCTCAGCCAGTTGAAAGGAGGACAGTGCCTGCTTGAACTCGGTGGTTCTCAAACTTGGCATGCAGCAGAATCAGCCGGAGAACTTGTTCAGATCGCTGGGCCCCACCCCCATGGTTGCTGACTCGATAGGTCTGAGATGGGCTTGGGAATTTACACTCTAACACTCCCAGGTGATGCCAGTGCTGTTGGCCTGGGTCGACATCGCCAGATCCCCTGGTCTAGATTCTCCCAAGTTCTTGACAGTGCCTCCCTCCTTCCCTGGCTGCCTCTCACGCACCTGTTAGTGCTCCCAAGTTAGCACACCCCTCTTCTAGAAGCCTTCCATCGTCTCTCACAGTCCCTCTCTCCTCCAAACTCCCGATACCGACATCCGTGTTTAGCCCAGTGTGGGGCCCCATGCTGCGTCACTTGGGATGCTCACACCCCCACACTCCTTTACCAGATTTCAAGCAGATCAAGAGTGTCTTTTGTCATTTCCACATGCTTTCCAGGGTTGAGCATATGGTAGTGGCTTATTTAACACACTTGTTGAATGCCATGGTTCCTAAAAGGAGGGAGGTGCCAGTGCTCACATTTTGTTCACTTTGCCTGCCCTGTCATCCTTCCTTGCCTCTGAGCAAGATCTGCAGCCTGTGTGTCTTTTATGTTCTAAGTTATCTAGTGCACCATGGATTCAACATAATTTTTTAAAGAAAATCAAGCAAAGGCTTATTGTTTCTCAGTACTTCATGCACTTCATGATTTTTGCTAGGCAGTTACATTGGACGACCAGCCCATATAGTGGTTTATGAACCTGTTTACTTCTGCCAAATTAATTGAGGTAGGAATCTTAACATCATTCTAAAAGTTTTGAGTCCATGGTCCTACAGTGAGAGGGTACTGTCTGCTGTGTGAACCTATGTGATCGCCAGGATTTACCCAACTGGATGGATAGTTGGATGGATGGTTGAACCCATGGACAGAGGTCATTGATTGCCCTATTGATTTCTTAGAGAGAGAGAGAAAGGGAGAGAGAGACAGAAACATCTATGTGAGAAAGAGACATTGATTGACTGCCTCCTGCACACTCCTACTGGGTATTGAGCCTGCAACCCTGCTGACCAGGAATCGAACCAGGACCTCTCAATCCATGGATGACGCTCAATCCACTGAGCCACACTGGCCGGGCTTGTTGTTCTTGTGGGAACCAGGCATACCACTCCAGCTGCAGTGTCTGGGTCCAAACTTCCTCTCGCAAGCCAGAAAGCTCACTGCCAAACCTGGCTTCCAGAAGAGATGGATTTCTTTCTATTTAAACAGGAACTGGCATCTTTTAGAAAAAAGGAATACATAAGTTTAGGAAAAGGGAAATCATTTTTAGATGTATTCACTTAACAAAATTATATTGAGGAACTACTGTGTGCAAAGCACTGTTCTGGATCTTAGTAATGGTGGAGCTCAGGCACTGCAGATCAGTTTTCAGGAAATCATGTCTAGAGGAGCTAGAGGACACCAGTGACACTTGCGTGTCTGTTCTGAGTAAGTGGAAGCGTACGTGCCATCAACACACTCGCTGGGAAGAATGTTCCTCTAATTTCTAGAAAGTAAATGAAAATGGAATTTTAACAGGAAGAAAAAAAGACTTTTTCAAAAAAATATTTAATACCAGAGTTAATTAAAACATTGAATACTAATAGATTTCCCTAGGCCGGAAGTACCTCCTTTGTTTGAAAGTCTGTGCCTTGGGGACATCTTGGTTGTTATTTCATAGTAGGCTAAGGCTGTGTCTTCTCGTCTTGTCTAGCTCACCATGTAACTAGGGTGGTTGTAGTGCAAAAAGTATCTGTCTGCCCTATTTTCACACTTGGGAAAATGCAGGCTCAAAAGTATGGAGCCTACTCACTTGTTTCGATATTTGATCATAAATATATTTCAAATGATAGAATATACCTAAACCTTTTTGTATATGTGTGTATATACACACAAGCATGTAATGTTCTGTGTCTAGTAATGTGCATTATCAATTCAATAAACATATGTTCAGAAGCCTCTGTGAGAAGAGGTCCTCAAACTTGGGAGAAGGGTCCAAAATTAAAGAAAGAGATCCAAGGAAACACTGGGGAGAAGCAGGCTGCTCTGAGCTCCAGTAATTGCATGCAGTGGGAGGCACCAGGCCAGAAACCTGAGGGGCAGAGCAGGTGTGTGCCTTCAGAAGAAAATAAACCTGATAGGGAAAGAGGTAGAAACAGACTGGCTAGACCAGACAGGTTTGTTAATCTCACAAACACAGACACCCCAAGTCGTAATATGTTTTATTTTCTTTTTCTTCCCAAAGACTGGGGAAGCTGGAGCTGGAGAGGATGATCTTTGCCCATTGTTGTCTGCTACAGGAGGGAGCAGCCCTAGCTCTCCAAGTGGGGACAAGTGACTGGCAGGGTCGGGGACAGGGAGGGCTGGTGTCTGCGGGCCTTGAGTGATAGACAGGGGTCT